TGGGCTTGATGTGTTTGAAATCAAACTGATCTGCTTTAAATTTGAAATTTTGATCTTTAAATGCTCTGCTTTTGCAGATGGAGTTAAAGCACAATCTAAAATCTCTGGAAACCAAAACAGAATCAGCCATAAAATGTGAAATGATCCAATCAGGCGTCTCCTGTGTTCCCAGGCTGGAGCTTTGAACCCGTGGTGAAGAATTTATTGTCCCTCTGTCTCCAGCTGGTATCACAGAGAGCGGACTTTGTATCTGTGTTGTCACGGACAGTGTCAAACATCAAGGTTCAGTCCTGCACAGTGCTCGCTCTGACCTTTCAATGCCACATCTTCTCCCTGGAAGTGATTACATTCTGAGTAACCATGATTAACTCATGCTACTCCGCTATAAAAGCCTCTGACATTCTGAGAGGAGGGCACCATCAAGTCCAAGAACTCCAGGAGTTAAGGTGAGTCTCCTTCGCCTTGTTTTTCAAGACTTTCAGCAGGATAATAATAGATCAAAGCGTATTTCATGAGGAGCTGAATATAAGGTGTTGTTCTGTGTTTAGAGACCTGATTGTTTTCCTTTTTTTCAGGCTTTTTTTTCGTCTTCTGCAGCCATGAAGTTCTCCCTTGTCGCCACTCTTCTTGTTGTGCTGGCTGTTGCCCACGGTAAGCTTTATTGAAAGAGAAAAACCTTTAAAAAATCAACTACTGTCTATTGAATAGGGCTGCAGCTATCGATTATTTCTGGAATCGATTAATCATCCAATGATTTTTATTGATTTAAATCAACATAGGATGAGTTAAGCATGTAGTATTAATCAGCCAATGATTTTTATTGAATAATCTAAAAAGAAGTTCTTTTTTTTCTATCAACATTTCTAGATAGAAAAAACAAAATGACTTGAAATTTTAAGAATCTTTAAAAAAAAAATGGCTTTATTGCACACATTTAAATAAATTGTACAAACATCTAGAAAAAACACATAAAATACATGTTTTTTAATGTAAAAGTCATAAAATACAAGCTTTTCCATCCTAAATTGAAAACTTTTATATATTTTTTTGTGTTTTTATCTGAATTACTGTTGTAAGTAGGTAATTATTTCAGCAAAGTGAATTAATCTATATACCCTTAAGTACTGTATGGGTAAGGCTAATTCGTTTCATACCTGCGCCAGTTTAAATCCACAAAAGGCAGCTTTATTTGTATAGCACATTTCAGCAACAGGGCAATTCAAAGTGCTTTACATAAAATCAGTAAAAAATAAAAAATAAAACACGGAAGAAACAGTTAAAAATCACAGGATCTATGAATAAAACAGATCTTAGATGTGCTTTGATATCATTTAGTCACTGTCTGTGTGAAATAAGCATGATCTTTGTAACAGCAGTGTAGAAGGCCTATCGTCAGACCATGTGGAGTTTGGCTAAAGATGCAAGAAATTTTCAGAATATGATAAAGGTTGCACAAAAAACAAGAACTAAATGCATGGAAATTTATCTTTTTTATATTTCATATGAATTCTGAAAGCTATTTTTGATTTTGGGTTTGAAGCTTATTAGCTTCACCAGGAAATTGAGTTAGTAATTTGTATAGTTTGAGTAATATTGTATAAATTGTTAAATATATACATGTATTTGAAAAACTGAATCTAATAATTAATTAAAATGATTGTAATAATTATGTTTAGAGTATTATTGAAATCACCATGGATAAATGATAGAAATTGAAACTCATACAGATTTATGAGATATGCTCTTTTAAAGAAAATAAAAACCTCTTCATTTAAATATGAAGTAACGTATTTTTAAATGTTTGGCTGAATTTGATGTTAAAATCACCAACATTTAAATAGACTTTCCTGGAATTATATTTTTATTGCAAAAACTGTATAGCATCTCATTGGAAACTACAACAAAGTCTTTTATTTTGAAAAATTGCAAGAGTGGTTAAAAATGCGTTGTAGCCTCTAGGGTTGTGACCAACCAATTAGCTCTGTTTGAAATTCTATGATGATAAAGAAAGTAATTGTTGTATAAAACTCTATGCTTTTGACTCTGTTTACACTGCAAAAAAGAAAACTCAATAAGTCGTTTTTTCTTAAAATAAGGGGATTTTTTCTTGAATTTAGGAGATAAGTGAGACACTTTGCCAATGGAACAAGTTAAATTTAAAATAAGAAAAAGTTATTATTTATTTCAAATGAATATATTCTAATTTTCTTATTAAAAGAGTAAAATACTAATTCCATTGGAAAATCATCATATTTACCTTCTAAAAAAAAAGGCTAAATATATTTAATTTAAGATTATTTTTTACGGTACTTCTTTCTAGATTGTTTTTGCAGTGCACACGTCTTATTTATATAAGTTGCAGCATCAGTAAAAAAAAATCAACACATTGATTTTGAAAATGCAGTTTATTCCTTAGATACCTTCTGTTGCTAATTAGCTTCAAACCAAAATGCTAAGATGATGAACACAAAAAAGTAAAGATTGTATAATAATATGTTTGGACTCTATTTATGTACTCTATTTATGTTTATTTTGTCTGATAATTAAATAATAAACAAGATGATAAATGTATTAAGTTTGAAAATGACAATTGTTGCCCCTTAGATGCTAGTTTAGCTAATTAGCATCATACCTAAGCACCACAATTATTAAACAAATTAATTGTTTTACACAGATTTTTTTTGTTCCATTTTTAAATTTTGTTTGACCTTTAGCTGCAGCAATAAATTAATCAACATACTGAGTTTGAAAATATTGTTTATTCCATATATGCCTTGTGTCGCTAATTAGCTTCATACCAAAACTCTTAGATGATGAATAGAAAAAAAGTAGTGATTGTATAATAATATATTGACTCTATTTTTGCTTTGTTTGATGATTTAATCATCAATAAGATGATAAACATATGGAGTTTCATAAAGAAAATCTTTTTATTTAGATGCTAGTGTCGCTAATTAGCACCATACCTAAGAACTTAAGTAATTAAACAAATTAAATGTTGTACGCTGATTTATGTTTTTAGCTCCATTTATAAGTTTTGTTTGAGATTAAGTTGAGTCAATAAAATGATTAACATACTGAGTTTGAAAATGTTGTTTATTCTTTAGGTACCTTGTGTCGCTAATTAGCTTCATACCAAAATGATAAGATGATAAAGAAAAAGAAAGTAATAATTGCATTATATGTTTTGACTGTATTTATGTTTGTTTGATCAATTAATAATCAATAAGATGATAAACATTTCAAGTTTGATAAAGAAAATGTTTTTCTTTAGATGCTAGTGTCGCTAATTAGCGCCATACCTAAGCACTAAAATAATTAAACAATTTAATTGTTGTACACTGATATATGTTTTTAGCTCTATTTATACAGTTTTTTAGATATATCTGAGTCAATAAATTAATCAACATATTGAGTTTGAAAATATTGTTTACACTGGAAAAACGATCTAGAAATAAGTAAAAAATATCTTAAATTAAGTGTATTTACCCTTAATTTGAGTAGGTAAATGTGATTGTTTGCCAGTGGAATGATTATTTTTACTCTTAAAATAAGATATTTAGATAAAATGCACTTGAAATAAGACAATGCAATTGTTTTTACTTATTTTAAGTGGAAATTGTCCTGTTCCATTGGCAAAAAATGTCTCTTTTACCTCCTAAATCCCCCAAAAATTCACTTATTTTAAGAAAAAATGACTTATCTAGATTTAATTTTTTTCCAGTGTATTCCTTAGACGCTTTGTATTGCTATTAAGGTTTGTACCTATATTTACACTATTAAAGGTGGAATGTAAAATTGATAAGCTTTACTTAATCTAACATCTGATAGACATCTAAAACACACAAGATATATTTATATTTATGTTGTTTTTTTAATAATTGATAAACCACAATTAACTGGGTTCATTGCTTTAGTCCTATTTCTGAAAACTGTGTCAGTCTCAGAGCTAAAGTTCATTTTAACTTGGTTCAAATGAAGCGATGTGGATTTAAACTTTTTATTTTTAAATTTTAAAGGCTCTGAGGCCAGGGCACTGGTGAAACGTGAGGTCCAGGCCGAAGTGGAGCGGCTCACCCAGCTCCTGAAGGACATGTCCGCCAGCGTCACCACCGCCACCCAGGACATGGTGGAGAAGATGAAGGCTCTGGAGATGACCAACACTGCCCAGTAAGAGCCTTTAGTTTCTACGCTAAGGTTCATTTAGCCATCATTTAAATCTGCTTCATCTTGGGGAATGTTTCTTTTGTTAGATTCAACAACCAGCCATCAGAAGAATTCTCTTTAAAACCCTTTCATCTGATAACACCTGATAACAAGTGAACAATTGTGAAGAGGGATATAAAAAATTCTACGATTTTAATCTTTTTAAATCAAATAAAAAGTCAGTGATTTATAGTCTAAATATATCAGCTTGTAATCCTAAAATACAACAATGCAAACGACTGGAGATTTTCTAAAAAGTAGGGCTGAATGATTTAGAAAAAAAATCTAATTTGACATTATTTATCAAAAAATATTGCAAATTTAATAAGATTTTCCTTTTCCAGGAAATTAGATGTCTCCAGATTTTTTTTTTTTTCAAACTTAAAAGCTTGTTGTCCAGAGTCGATTTAGTCTTTCCTTTCTATTCAGATCTATGGATTGGCTTTCTACACTGGAAAAAATTAAAAATCTAGATAAGTCATTTTTTTCTTAAAATAAGCGCATTTGTTCATGAATTGAGGAGGTAAAAGAAACATTTCGCCAATGGAACAAGACAATTTACATTTAAAATAAGAAAACACATTTGCATTGTCTTATTTCAAGTGCATTTTGATCTAAATATCTTATTTTAAGAATAAAAATACTCATTCCATTGGCAGATCATCTTATTTACCTACTCAAAATAAGAGTAAATACACTTGATTCAAGACATTTTTACTTATTTTGAGATAATTTTTGCAGTGTAGCTGCGACTCTCTTCCCTATTGTAGCGCCTCCTAGAGGGCTGGGGTTAGATTCAGCATCTTACTCCTGTTTAATGTAAATTGTATTGTAGCGAAATTGCGTTGAAGTTGCTCATGAATAAAAATAAACTTATTTCAATTTTATTTTGTTAAAAAAAAGATTAAAAAGTTTGTTTTCCACTTTTGCATTTAGAAACTATGTCTGGTCAGAACTTTAGTTTTACATTGAGAAATATGAAAGGGTGTGAATACTTTAAGACTCCATGTTCTAAAAATCTATAAACTGTCTTAAAATCCAAGGAGAGACATTTTTTCCACTTTACAAAGTTGACTTTATTGAACTTTTTGTCTTCATAAAATAAAATCTGTAGCACAAAAGTTTTTTACACACCCAAAGAATCAAATATTAAAGCAAAGGCCGCCATCTTTGTAGGTGAATGTTTCTTTTTTGCAGCTTTCACAGCTTCCTTTCCCTGTCCCTTCGCTGTAGGACCTACATGGAGGACAGCAGGGCCAGGATCCAGCCTCTGGTGGAGAAGGTCCAGGCTGAGGCCGCCAAGCTGCAGGAGCAGGTCAAGCCGTTCATCTCCAACATCGAGGAGCACGTCCGGCCCCTGACGGACGACCTCAACTCTCAGGTCCAGCCCCTGACCGAAAACCTGCAGGCTCAGGTGAAGCCCCTGACTGACATGATGGAGAAGTTTCTGCAGCAGGTGATGGAGCAGTCCAAGGCCCTGATGCCACCTCAGTAAACATCCACCCCCACAAAAAAAAACGGACTCAGAATCCACTCTGAACGCTAAACACTGCCGACTGTTATGCTTTACTGTTTCATTTCAACTCCATCAATAAAGGGATTAAAAACGTAAGAGTTGTTTTTTCTGCTTTGTGTTAAAATTCGCTTCTAAAACAGTGAAAAAGGTCAAGAGATAAAGATGAACTGAACATGTTTGGATCTGATCCGATCCGCTCAGCGTGGTAAACATCAGTATCTGCATCACCTCTGACCTGTTGCTTATCTGCCGCTCTGTCGCTCGTCGCTCCACACAGAAAATAATCAAGAGCTGAGTCCTGTTTGATAATCAGATTAACTAACAGATACGGGAATAATTAACCTTATAAACAGAACTTAATTGTTGCAGAACGCCTAAAAACAGAAATCTATTCTCTAAAATGTTGGAAGCAGCTCTGTAAGGAGTTAATGGATATAAAATACAGCTACCAGGATAGATTTAAACATTTAAAAATAAATAAATAAATGCAACTTTTCCTATAAAGGGTAAGCATTTCATTTTGCTGCAAAACCGACTTTGGTTGCAGATTGCATCGAGTCGAGGCAGAGCAGACAGGTTTCATTGAGCTCGTGTCTCAAAGCAGGGAGGGAGACAATGACTTGTTGTCTGTCGAACAACAAAACAACAAAATCACTAGTCTTCCACGCCACTCCGGACCCATCAAACCCATCTGACTCCTTGAGGCAGCTCAAGCCTTGAGGACAGGGCAGCGTTTGGGTAAACCTTGGCGTCGGCTCTCCTCCTCCTCCTGAAGGCCGCGGCAGAACTGGCAGTCCTGAGCGGCCTTCTCCTTGTCCTTCCTTAGATTAAACCAGCCAAACCTTTCAGAAACAAATCAACGGGGGTTTTCCACCCACCGCTTTTCATTCTTCAAACCGGCAGCATTAAGAATGAGTTTTAAATGTTAGATTCAGTGTCTAAGGGGAGGACTCTGTCCTGAAGGAAGGACGACGTGCATCAGGGTTATCCAAAGCGTGCCGCCGACGGTGGCCCTGAAAGCTGGAACACAGAGAACACAGCAGCTTGATGAACCCTGATGGCACAGAGTGAGAGATAAACCCATCATCTACCGTCAAATCTTAAAGCTTTTTCAGATAACGTCTATGAATTAAGTCACGTTTGAGGTTTAAAATGTGAAATTTCTTGTGAATGTGGAGTTTCTTTTGGTTTGGATGGTTGGATTTTCCCAAAAGAAGCTGCTCAGGGCTTTTTTTTTCCCTTCCTTCACCAGCAGCTCGCATCGCTCGGTCATCGGAAGGAGCCGTTCCCAAACGGATCACCTTCAACCACCCTTTAAAATGTCCAAATGAATGCGTCTTTTTTTCTGAACGTATCTGCTGGAAACAGGATTAAAGACATGGGCGTCTAAAGTGAGTGATGCCTTCACTGGAAACATGAACCAGTGGAGGAGCCGAGGCATAACAACAGGTGTTACTACGGCCGATGCAGAAGTTTAGAGTCTGATACGAACTGCTTTAACAGTTAAATACGGACATTTGTGTTACAAACCACCACCTGATCAGATAATCTTCCGATTTTTGCATTCGATGGGGTCTTTTTGACTTTTTCCACACTAGAGATCAACCGATCAATCAGCCGGTGATCAGAACCAGCCAATTCTTCCCATAATTGATCTATCAAAGACAAAAACAGGTGGCAGTGTGTATCTTAGTCCTTTGAAACAAAGTATAAATCGAATTAATCTAGAAACGCATGCTTTGATAGAGAAAATGGGATAATCTTTTATTTTCTGTTAGGTGCAGAACTACCATCCTTGTAAGGAAACAGGAAAAGCATTATTATTAAGACTAAAACTGCAAGAAAAACCTAAATCTGATGGACAGACCTCCTAAAAATTGGCACCAACCAAGAAAAGCCTGATTGGTGCATCTCTGATCAGCATTTAAGGCGAGGTGGGATCCAGTGCGACTCAGTCTGCATGTTTTTATGCCTGTGCTCATTAGTTTTGGGGATATTTTTGCAAAGTATGTCACATATGTGCCATTATTTTAGAATGCATGATGAGAGTTAAGTGATATTCTTTAAGTTTTAATCATCATTTCTGTTCTAGTTGCATTTAAAACTTATATGAAGCAGAGAAACATCAGTTGATTTTGCAGGAAAACCTGAGAGAAACTGGGCAACATTAATAGATGGAGATGAGAGAAGGATTATTTGAAATGAATGAAATATGTAGCTTCACAGATGATGCAGAAAGCAAAGATTTCACTGATGGGGAAATTGTTTCCACTTACCGTTTCTGAATTGGACACCTGGGGTCATCCACGCAGGGGGCCGACGGCAGGAGCACAAAAGGAACAATTTTCTTTCAGGGAAAAAAAAAGAAAGAAAGAAGAAGAAAATAAAAAAAATGTTTTCAAAATGTTGCGCCGGTTTCTCAAAAGAAAAAAGGCAGAATGATTAAGAGTTGAGGGTCTAAGACCTGCGCTTAGAGATGGCCTCTGCGGAGGGAAAGCCTGCTCTGCCTCGGCTGGTCGGCGGAGAACAACTGATAGACGTGTTTTTGCTGGTTATGTTTTAACTGCGGACTGACAGACAGACGGCCCCCATGCACACAGGTGCTATTCAAGGAAACTGTGTAAACGTGACGTCACAGAGAAAATCTGGCCCATAAACCTTTTTCCAGAACCAAAATCCCGCCCACTTCATGCTGGTCACATCTTTTCTCCCATTTTTCCATTTCTCTAACTGTCTCTTCAGCTCTTTGTCTGACCTTCTAGATTTATATCTCTATAAAAACACATTTCAACAAACTACCATGCGGCAGAAAGCGGTTGATCCCAAAATTTTGCTTTTTGAAGTCGCTCGTTCTGCTGTCTCTCCGTCTCACAGGCTGAACAGTTTCCAATCAATACCTGTTTATTTTTCTCTTTCCTCGCCAGATTTGATTTTCTTCTCTGTTGTTTTTTTTCGTGTCTGTTTCTTTCTTTTCTTTGTTTTTTGGAAGCAAAAAACCACCAAAACCAAAGCGTATCCCAATTTTCAAAGCCTCCCCCCCCCAATTTGGAGCACGTCTGCTTCCCTCTAATGCTGAAACACCACTTTGTGAAATTACAGTACAATTTTGAAAAGTAGAAACAGGCAGCAAGCAATTCAGGTGCTCAGTCTCCGCAACAATAGAGCGCTGGCCTTGGTGATGGTTGCTAGGCGATGGAGGAAACACAATGGCCTCCTCTGAAACCAAAGGCCCTTAAGTGGACTGACAGGAGCGAACGCACACACACACACACACACACACACACACACACACACACACACACACACACACACACACATATGCATACATACATGCATAGATCCATGCAGAGCAACTCAGGAAACAGAGCAACACATGGGAAAAGAAGCAAGTGAAGCTGCACCTTGTTCAGGACAGGAAGCCTTGAAGGAAAGGAGCAGCTTGCCTCAAATCTCTCTGCATATTCTTATTCATTGCAAAGCATAAGGAGCTTATTTCAGCATCCTTCATCAGGCCTTTTTTGAAAGCTGAAGCTTCGGATGGAGGGACGTACCGATTGGTCACAGCATCAATATGGCAACAGTCTCTCTGCAGCATCATCTATTCCCTTTCCTCTAAATAAAAACCCAAAACGATATAAGTCAATCAAAACACCGGAAAAACGATCTAGAAATAAGCAAAAATGTCCTAAATTAGGCGTATTTACCCTTAATCTGAGTAGGTAAATAAGAAAGTTTGCCAATGGAATGAGTATTTTTACTCTTAAAATAAGATAATTAGATAATATGCACTTGAACTAAGACAATGCAATTGTTTTTTTCTTATTTTAAGTGTAATTTGTCTTGTTCCATTGGCAAAATGTCTCTTTTACCTCCTTAATCCAAGAAAAATTCACTTATTTTAAGAAAAAAGGACTTTTTTTTCCAGTGAACACACCTTATATGGTATCGAAAATGGTTATGTGCAATTTTCACAATTACAAATCCTGACTTGCGTGCGGTATTACTATTACAGCGCAAATGACCTGCATTAACACCCAGCATGTAAATAATAGAATGGGGGGACACTAGCTGCCCTTGGTACTTCAACATGGCACAGACATACAAACATTGACTTGTATGGCTGAAATGCTTCATCCTCTGGCATGTGGGGCAGAAATCATAAAGACAGAAAAAGAGAAAAACGCAGTTCACTGCAGAAAAATTGAAATCTAAATAAGAAATTTATTTTTAGAATAAGTTTTTTTTCTTGAATTGAGGACGTAAATGAGACACTTGGCCAATGGAACAAGACTCTTTACATTTAAAATAAGAAAAAAACTATTGCAGCGTTTTATTTCAAGTGCATATTATCTAATTATCATATTTTAAGGGTAAAAGTTCTCAATCCATTGGTAAATCATCTTATTTACCTGCTCAAATTAAGGGTAAATACAGTTAATTTCATAAAATGTTACTTATTTATACATAGTTTTTGCAGGGTTGCATTTTTTTTAAATGGTATTACCCTAATTTTTATTAAAACTAAATCAGCTGTTATGTATGCTAACATCAATGCAGTAGCGGATGGAACAGAAATATCACTTATTGTCTCACTCTGAGGAAGATCGGATAACCAGCAGCAAAAGGAAGAATGCAGATTTTTACACAAAGGGAAAATATATGAATGCAACAAAATAAAAATGAGAGAATGATAAAAAAAAGATTAAATTTAGAGCTAGAATTTTTGCTAATGAGGTAGGTCTGTATATGGGGCAATTTTATTCCCGTTATTATTGCAAACAAAGAATTATATATTTAAAGAACATGTTTTCTTTAAAAGAAATGTGAAGAAAATGCATTCCAGAAATGAAACTTTAAAAACCTTCTTAATTGAAAGAACACAAGCTCTTGACATGCATTCATTACTAAAAATGTTGTTCAAGCAGAGTAATAGAAATGCATCTTCTCTCTTCACTCCAGAATAAAGCTGCACCAGAAGTTAAAAAATTAAATTTGATCTTTATAACCCAATTTAAAAACAGTAAAATCTGTAAAACTAAATCTGAAGACAGAAATAGAATAAAACATAATAAAAAAACTGAATATTTAAAAAGAAT